CTGCCCGCCTCTCCCTCGCGGGCGCGACCCAGCGCGGCCCCTCGGTTTCTTACCCCGATACGGAGCCGCCGAGCGGGAAAGCGAGGTGGAGCAAACGATGGTGTCACAGGTGCGCTGGTACACGCGCTTCCCTCGCACCTGACAAGCTGATGAGTAGTGACAAACCCGGGAGTTCTGAGAACGCAATAAAGGTAGTGAGGGGAAGCAAAAGCTGAGGAAACGGGACAAATACAGAAACCTGGGGAAGCAGGCAAGGTATTTTTAAGGTCGTAATATACAACCCAGGCGGGTCGGGTTTAAGGTACCTTGCTAATCACGTTTTCCCTCGCTGGACTTCGCCCCTCCTTTCCGGTAGGTCCCGGCGGGGGGGTGATTCTCGTGGGGGCCCCTCGGCATCAACTAGCGGGCAGCTCCCTCGCACCCCGCCCACCGGCCCCGCGGGTCCTAGACATCCTCCCACAGCCACGCGGAGACAAAGATTTGTCAGTTGGTGTTTGTGGTGTTGTGGGATTAGTTGGGTTTTTTTTGTTTTCTTTTCGGAGTAGCTTCAGAGTCGTGAGTTCGGTGTGTCGCTGTCTGTTTTGTCCTCTCGGTAGTGCCTGTATATCAAGTAATGGGAAGCTGTGCAAAACTAATTTAGACAACTTTTTAGTTTCACGGGCAGGAGGTTTGGCTTTAATTTATGGTCAGGTGTAAATTACAAACGTGAGATAATAGCTTGTAATTTAGAACTATCTGAAATGCTTTAGCTGGCCTTATTAGCAACTCCTATAGATAAACCCCAGAATAAAGCACATGAAGCAATGAGACCCGAACTAAGATGGGTTTCTTTTCTTTCACGCACAGAAATTGTCTACAGTCCCAGAGTGAAAAAGATTTCCGTCTGTGATGATGGCAGATTTTACAGGAGAGCATACGGTAATGTTGGGTTTTACTAGGATAGAGGAAACAATTTTTAAATGGAAGATCTCATAAAGAGTAATACTTCTACTGCAGTAGCGTTTCAAATATGCCAACTGCTCTAACAAGTATGAGCCAAACTTACAGCCAAAGAATCTTACAATTCAAACAAAAAACTGGGAGGAAGGGAAAGAGGAATTATTTTTGTTTCCCCACAACAGTAATTTTTTAAAATCAAAATAGCAATTATAAAGGCTGCCAGAATAAACATTCTTGAATATTGCATTTATGGATAGACAATGAAGCAGAAGAAGCAGACAACACTGATTTAGAATATACATTTTCCAAAAAGATGTAAATACATTATGTAGCTATATCTAGAAAAATCTCTAACTGCAGCTTTTTCATTTTATAAATGGCATTACAATAAAATCAGTCTTTCAGACTAAGAAGTATATGATTCTAAGGTGCTATTCAGGTCAACTCTTAAGTGATAGCCTACTATAAATTTCTCAAAACTTTTCAGTTCACACCTTGAAGGCAATTTTAGGAAGGGAAGTCATACCTGTGTCTGATGTAAAACTGTATTTTTTTTTTTTTGTTTCTGCTTCCTGAAATCTTCAGAAACCTTTCACAATGCTTTGTCAAGTCAATATTTAAGTAGATGTTCAATATTGCATACACAGGGTTTGGAATCACATATCCTTGTTTTGGTTTTAATTGAAAAAGCAACGTTGTTGCTAGTAGCTGAAATGAGAGCAAAGTAACGTCCTGTTCACAGTAGGTTGGGAAACTAGTCTCCAGCCTTTCATGGGTGAGGAGAGAAAGAGACTGAAATAAGTGCTGTACAGTATCCCACTCTGTGAGGGAACTGCATTTACCTATTCTTAATGGTTAATGGAATGCTTCCTCTGTGCTTCATCTTTCTCCATAGACATCTTCCCTTAAACCATGTCCATTTTTCTCACACTTCATTGTGTGCAGTAAACAACATAAATATGGCTAGCCTCTTCCCTACTAAATATGATCTCTTTTGTGTGAATTGCCCATATTTCAGTAGTATAGCAAACAGGCTGTCCTCCCATCTCCTCAGTGTCTTTCATGTCTTCCTGCAGAATGAAAAAATCATAGATGAATCCATGCACTTACAACTTCTTTGTGCTGTTTTCATTCCAAGAAACTGGCAAGACAGTAACTGGTTTATATGTCATAGAATCTGACTGTTTTTCCCTTTTCTATGTGTGTTCTATTCTATGAAATAAAAAAGCAGAAGGTACCATTAATCAGAAGGCCCCAAAGAGATGACTTAACAACTCTGACCCAATGGAGATTGCTCAAAAGGAAAATCTATATGGTGTTGCTCTGTTAAAAAGCAAAGAATATTTTTTTTCAATTTAGAAGTGTAATAAAAAGATTTCAATATGCTAAGCAGCTTATTCAAGGAAACTTGCATTCCATGAAGGAGTTGGGCTCCAACTCAGGTTACTTACATGAAAATTTTCAGATCACTTTCTGTCCTAGTAATTGGCTTTATCAGATGGTATAGTGAGTTTTCACATAGTCAGAATGTAATTTACTGTGTTCTAAAAACCTGTTAGTTCAGCGAGAAAAATCTGAAAGTATATAGTAGCTTGTGCCAATGTATTTGCCAAATGTAACTTCATATAAACCACTTTTGAAAACAAAGTTACTGTGTTAAGATGATAATTTCATTTTAAAAATACTGATAATAGTGGCATACAAATACTGATAATGGTGAGAATTTAATGCTTGTAAATATTTGCTGTCAGGACAAAAATCCCATACAAGTAGGATTCTAACCACACCAAAGGTTACCCCATGTTTACCATTTACAGCTAGTGACAGTTAGTAGCAGATCGAAGAGTTATTAGGAAAACAGAAGGTTATGATAAGCTTAATTTTTCAGTTACATGGAAACTACTTCTTGATATAATTCTTACCATCAATCAGTTTTATGAGCTGAAAAATGATCTTAGCTGAAACTAGAGAACTCAGTCTAATCTCATGAAAGTACTGCATGGATTTTCTTCTCTCCTGTTCCTGGATCACAGTAGATAGCTTATTCTGTCATCCATTCCACAATTTCCATGTGGTAAGTGCTTGCAAGAATGAAAGAGTAACTGGAGAAAGTAGTATTAATGTACTGCTGTTGGAATTTAGCAGCTGAAACGTGTGAGAGGCTTTACAAACAACTGTTTTCCTACAGACTGCCAAGAGATAGTCTGTATCAATGAGTATTTTGCTTGTAACCTCTTTTAAATCTGGATTCAGATATAATAGGGGTTTTTTTTATATAGGTGTTGTGGAGGTGTATCACTACACTGACATAGTCTTCTTAAATTGTAGTGGTTGCAAATACAGCGTGAACTAAGCTTGAGGAAACTAATAGAGGGTTCAGAGTATCAAGAGGAACTGAAGTATGACTTCAATATAAAAGGGGAGTTGAGGCACCTGGATACAAACGAGTCCTTTGTTTTCAATTACTACAAGAATGCACATGAGCAGAATCATAAACGCTATCAAGTTTTGGTACATTCGATTACCCAATATGTTTATGAGCTCCTGGAAAGAGTCTGCATGCTGCAGAAAGTTTATATTCCTACTGACGCTACAGAGGATGAGCCAAAAAGTTTCTTTTTCATGAGCAAGAATGCACTAACAAGTTCCTCTAACTTAATTGTCCTTCTTCAAGACAGTGGAGTTTTCCGTGCAGGACAGTGGGGGCAAAAGATGATTGTCAGCGAGGGCCTGAGGTGTGGAACACAAATACCATTCATCAAAATGGCCCTTGAAAGCCACGGGGGAGTAATTGTACTGAATCCCAATGACAACTTTGCTGATCTGAAGACTGAAAAAAAGAGGTTAAGCTTTTCTACCAGGGAAGAATCACTGATTTCTACAAAAATCATTGCCAAGAGGGGTAGCAGCAGCCCCGAGGAGCACACCAGGTACGTGTGGGATCATTTCATTTCAGAGAGCACAGCCATGAATGTGGCCTTCATTGCCCACGGCTACGGTGGCCTGGTGTTTGTTGATCTGTTGGTGCAGAGAAAACAGGAGGTAATGAACAAAGTGTACTCTGTGGCATTCATCGACTCCATGCACAACACACAGCACCAGACTAGAGGTGATCCACAAATACAAGAATGGATACAGAAATACTGCTATGAATGGGTGTCAAACAGTAAGCCTTTAGATAAAGCTGTGGGTTCTCTCAGTAAAGTTAACTGTCCTACTGTCTCTGCTGGAACAGAAAAGTATGGTTTAGCACCCTCCTGCTGCTTACGTGCCATCTTTAAGTACTTGAACAGCATGCTGAAAGCCAAGACCACAACATCCTTTAGGTATTCACCTGTTAGAACCAGAAGCAGCACAAGTAAGAAGAGAGGCAATAAATAAAGGTATACTGATTTCTTCTCGATAGTGGTGTCTTCCTTTCATAACTGTCCCTGCACTTTTCAGTCATCTAAGGACCTTCATCTCACTGTGGAGCAACTTACAGTTCCAAGTTTGAAGCTGAGTTTGTTTGGTTTTAAGAAACACAGAAATACAAGTTAACTATTAGGAAAGAAGTGCATTGTTGAAAGCTTTAAGCTACAACCCTTCAGCTAGCTGTGAAATTTAAAGTTGCACAAAATAAAAATGTTAAGGTGTACCAACTCTCACCTGTATCATTCTTTAAACATTTTGCAGTTATGGTTCTCTAATCAGACTAAGCTATCAGGAAAACACTTGTTTCTTATGGGCATAAGCTTTCATTAAAAGGCAAACTGGAAAACAGAAAGCATGTAAAGGATCTATTTCCTCCCCACCATATACCATACAGTGTTTAAAATCTTTAAAGAGTTGGAACACCCACCTTCCTCTTTGAAATGTTTACTTCTAAGTTGAATGATACTTCAGGGAACTATGTACAGCTGCCTTCCCTCCAGAGATGGTGTGCCCAAAACATGATACAAGAAGCTAAAATAACTTCCATTTTAAAGTTAGCTAAGCCAGTGAGGTTACTGGGCATGAGCTGCTATAGAAATACAATACTTGAGCAACCTGCAAGTACGAAACTGATGCAAAAGAATGACACTACTGTTTTCTCTCAGCTGTTTAATTTTAGACAGAGGTGGGAAATAGAGACAGCTTTTAAATGTCCATACTCAAGGTTCGCAAATTATACAAGCAGAAGGTCAAACAGCCTTTAAACAAAATGTTTATTCTGAATTTTCAGTTTAATCCTGTGGGAATTAAAAGAGCTCAGTGCCTGCAAAAGAGCTTTGAAGGATGACAAAACCTTGTCCTACACCTTCAGTTCCCATCTCGGTAAAAAGAGTTTGCTGAACTAGGTACCAGATAAAAGAGAGAGTCAACTTCCCTTTTGTGTTTATATCCATTTCAGATTTGTCACCTCTAATGTTCTTTGAAAAAGCTCCCATTTTGTTATCCAGTAATGGGTAAAAGTGTAAAATTCCCTTGGAAAGACACAGTCAGTTGAATGCCTCTGAGAGCATGCATGGCTTTTTAAATAAAGATAGGTTTACTGTTATTACATCTGAATTAAAGTGGTACTAAATAGACAATAGACTATATAGTGCCTTAGTTCACTAAAGAAAGTTGCAGTGGAGACGTCATCATTGAGGATGCATACAGCCTGCCTGTTTTGTAGATGCTGGTCAGCATGCAACTCAAAGAACAGTCACTTGTGGGAATTCAACACATGAGTATGCAGCTTTATTTATGAGGTGTGAGATGGCAGAATGTCTGTCTTCAGAAGGAGACCAATATGATCCTTCAAAATAAACGCTCAAGTTGTCCCACATGTGAAGGTGTCCCATGGTGTTAGAGGTGGCTAAAAATCCCTGAAGAGAAAAAGGGATCTAGAACATCAGCCATTTCCGTAATTCTTTTTCTCAGGTCAACCCATTAAATTCCTTGGTAGAGAAGGTCGTATTTAGGAATGTTATTGGGATCAATAGGACTTCTCACAATGAGCTTTCCACGCATTGCTCCGCGATAGATCACTTCAATCAGATCTATAAAGTCTTGCTTTGTTTTGAAGCTTCCTACAAATTTGGTATGATCTGGAGACCTAAAAATAAGCATAAGGCAGAATTGTAACGTTAAAGTGTTCAAAGCAGAACCACCTAAAGACAAGAAAAGATGTATAATGACATCAGGGTTTCTCATCTGGTCATTCTGAAAGAATGAACTGCACTGGTAACGGTATAACCAAGTCAGGAGTATGCTGTGACCTCCAAAGTCCCAAAAGGTGTGGTGTCATGTGGAAGACTTTAACTATACACCCTACTTGCTCCCAACAGTGTTCTCAATACAGATGCTGCCAACAACATTAGTTTTCAAACATTATCTTCCCTAGACATGGTTACATAAAGAAAGACATCATTCTTACAGATATCATAGGTAGTGCCAGGTAGGATGACATACCCATAATCAACCTTCATGTGTTGTCCATTGAAGAAAAATACAGTGGATGGAATATAACTGATGTCAAAATACTGGGTGTACACTGGAACCTTGTTCACATCCACCAGGTAAATGACTGCCATTTTACTTAGATCATGAGCTGTCTTTGCAAGCTGAAAAGAGTGAGAAAGGTGGATGAAAAACGGATTGAGGCACATGAGGAAATAGGGTGGCAGGCTTTATAAAGCATGTTTCTCCTGTGTCTTATCAGTTTAAGCAGGGCTAGAATGTCATGTCTTATCTACTTCAAGCACTTTGTACACCCACTATAACAACATAAACATTTGCTGAATATTCACTGGTTTATGTAGTACCATTTCATTTTACATTTGTCAACAAAATTTTCATGAGACACCATATCAGCCAAAAGCAACATATGATATTCTCTTGTATGCAACAGGTATACTAGCAGAGATCATTAAAAAAAAAAAAAAAAAATATTAAAAAAATTGTTCTTACAATGTCATCGAGCTGCAGACAAACAGAATCGTTATCTCTTCCAAACCGGAGAACCAAAACCTTCTCTGCCACGCTTTTTATTGCCTGATCCACCTCCCTCTTACAGGTCAGTTTGGGCAGCAGAAAACTCATCCCGGCAGATCACAGCTTACACTAAAATCCCTACCTGACGGTTAGGAAAAAAAAAAGAAAAAAAAGAAACCTGCGTCATAAATAAGCGAATTTTCTTCATGCTACTGAAAGAAGAGAAAGAAATCACCGACCGCCCCACCGGGCTAACAAACCCCTCGCGTCCCAGCTCGGCATGGCGGCGGGCTCAGGCCCTTCCCGTCCCGCAGGGCCT